TTTTTACGCACTATTCACAATAGCCAAGTTATGGAAACAGCCAAGTGCCCACACACGGACGAATGGATTAAGAAAATGTGTATCTATACACAATGGAATTTTCAATGCAGCCAGTGAAGAAGACAAAATGTTATCATTCGCTGGTAAATGGATGGAATTGGAGAACATCATTCTGAGTGAGGTTAGCCTGGCCCAGAAGACCAAAAATGCTTGTTCTCCCTCATATGTGGACATTAGTCAAGGGCAAACACAACAATGGGATTGCGACTTTGAGCACATGATAAAAGCGAGAGCACACAAGGGAGGGGTGAGGATAGTAAGACACCTAAAAATAGCTAGCATTTGTTGCCCTTAAGCAGAGAAACTAAAGCAATACCTTAAAGCAACTGAGGCCAATAGGAAAGGGACCAGGAACTAGAGAAAAGGTGAGATCAAAAAGAATTAACCTAGAAGGTAACACCCACCACAGGAATCAATGTGAGTCAGTGCCCTGTACAGCTATCCTTATCTCAACCAGCAAAAACCCTTGTTCCTTCCTATTATTTTTTATACTCTCTCTTCAACAAAAATTAAGATAAGGGCAAAATAGTTTCTGCTGGGTATTGAGGGGGTAGGGGAAGGAGGGGCGGAGTGGGTGGTAAGGGGGGGTGGGGGCAGGGGGGGAGAAATGACCCAAGCCTTGTATGCACATATGAATAATAAAACAATAAAAAAATGCATATTTAACTAATCTTTAAAACCAGAAGTCCTATGTACCCCACTTTAAAGAGACGATGTATGAGAAGAAAACCCAAAGAAGATGATGAGGCAAAAGTTCTGAAGAGGGAGGAGGAAACTAGGAATTGCAGAAAATAAGGGAGAAGGCGTTTTTCCTTATTTGTCTGTTGTTCGTTGGTTTTGAGACAGGGTCTTGCTTCTCATTTTGTTATTATTATTTTATATAAACTTAAGTTCTTAATTGTAATGTCATTGAACTTGCTTTTACTTCATTGCTTAAGCTTTTTGCATGTTTAAATAAGTTGTGCATGTGTGTGTGTGCAATCATTATGCATTCCCAAATGTCTTGCTTGCTATCCCTGTATAGTGATGTACATTTTTGTTATTCAAAATGTGGCCTGGGCAAAAGATAACAAGTGCTGGTGAGTACATAGAAATGTGAGGACTCTTGGTGGTGGTGGTAAATGTAACATAGCACAGCCATTGTGGAAAGCCACGAGGCTCTTTCTCAGAAAACTGAAAATAGAAGTACGTGTGACCCAGCAATCCTATTTCTAGGTATGTACCTGTGTTAATTTCTTTCTCCTTGTTGTGACAGATGCCTAACAAACAACTTGAGGAAAGATTTATTTTAGCTCATGGTTTGAGAGGTTTCCGTTCATTTGGTGGCAGAAGCATGTGGTGTGGGAAATTCCTGTCCTGATGGTTGCCAGAAAGCAAAGAGGGAATACAGGAAGGGAGCAGAGAAAGGTTATAGCACGCAAGGATATCCACTGGTGACCTGCTCCCTATAGGTTGGCTCCTTCTCCTAAAGTTTTCAATGTCTCCAAAAGTAGCACAACGGGCTAGGACCAAGAAGCTCAGACAGTAGTTTTATGGGGACATTTCATATTCAAACTGAGTCCATAACTTATTCCCACACAGCCAAGATATTGAGTCAACCTAAGTGTCATCAACACACAAATGGATTAAAACAGTTATGATAAATATACACAATGGGAATTCTATCAGCCTTAAAAAGCCAGGAAATTCCATCTGTGACAACGAATGGCAAATCGGAGAAATTGTACTAAGTGAGATAAACCAGGCACAGAAAAGATAAATAGCACATATTTTTTACTTACAGTGAATTGAAAATGAGAACTAACAGAAACAGAGAACAGAATGGTGATTACCAGAGGCTGGGGAGGGAGAAGTGGGAAGATGGTTGTCAAAAGGTACAAAGTCTCAGTTAAATAAGAGGAATTTGGGTTCTTGTTTGTTTTTTGTTTTTTAAAATATACATTATTACAACCTGGTGAATTATAGTTAATACATGTATCATGCATTTTTAAAACCACTAAGAGAGAATTCCGTTGTTCTCACCCCCAAAAATGTGTGAGAGGATAGCCTATGTTAACTATCTTGGTTTAATTATTCCCATTGTATTGTTTAATAACATCACTTTTTACCCTATAAATATATACAACTATAATTATTTTGATTTGCAAAATAATTTCTTTAAATAATGAAAAAGGTTTCTCCAGACCAGCAGCATCAGCACTACCCAGAAACCTGTTAGAAATGCAAGTTCTCAGGTCACAACCCAGACCTAATGGATCAAAAACTTGATTGTTTTAACAAGCTCTTCAGGTGATTCTTAACTACAGATAAGAAGAGGAATATTGACCAGGGTTTTAGTGCTTAAGAAGGAGTGTGTCCACCAGGGGCACTCGTGATGGCCCCTCCGAAAGAGGGACCCTCACTCATGTTCCTCATGCTTTTGGTGAATGGGATTTAAACAAAAAACAAGAAAGGATGTAACTTAAAGCCTGGATTACAAGCAATTAATGCAATTGTTAAAACCGTGATTTTGTATGTGAAAAAACATGCATCTCTTTTACACTAGACCAAAAAAATGCTTTCAAATGGCTTCAATAAAAAGACACAAAATAAGTTTTTTGAAAAAATACAGATAAAATACACAAGTGAAACAAAGTAGCTTATATAGTATAATATGAAGTGGAAATTGGAAAGCAAAAGAAAGTTGGGAAAATTCAAATTCCTAGTCCCACAAGAATGTGGAAAAAGATGTGAGGAAGGCTGTTGAAGTTTTATTGTTGCAATGGTTGCTGCTGGTGATGATGGAGAGGGAATGGGGTGTGTGTGTGATCTGTGTCGGACCTGATAGATATTTGCCCTCATTTTTGCTTTGTTAATCCATTCCTCTTTAGGCAGTGGGGTTTGATGTTTTTGTGAGGAAAAATGTTGCACAGTAGAGCTTTTTTAGCTATTTAGCACCATGGAAAAGATTCAAAGTCCTTTCCACATTTCAGTAATGATTAGTACTCTAAAACAAATGTAAAGCAACATAACAAACAAAGCAATACACTTTAACATTATTTATCATTTGTACTGAAATTATTTTACTGAAAAAGTAATGCATACAAATAAATAGTTTTTTAGCTATTTAGTGACCATGGAAAAGATTCAAAGTCCTTTTCCACATTCAGTAATCATAGTACTCTAAAACAAATGTAAAGCACATAACAAACAGAAGCAATACACTTTTAACATTATTTTATTTAATTTTTATTGAAAATTATTTTACTGAAAAGTAATGCATACAAATTCAGTATAAAAATAGAATAAAAATTCCTTTTATCCTCCAATTATATTATCAAAATAGAATAAAAATTAATTCCTTTTCATCCTCCAATTATATTATCAAAAATGCAGTTTTTCTCTGAGTTTTAATCTTTTTTTTTTGGTTGTGCGGGGTGCTTAGGGCTTTGCACTTGCTGGCAGGTGTTCTTGAGGCCATGTCCCATGAAAGCAGGAAAGAGAGACTGGGTCCTACAACCCCTTTCAAGGACATCAACCCAGTGCTAAGGACCACCTTTCTTGTGATTTGTAGAAAAGTCTACAGCTTCTTGCAAACCTCTACCCGGGGACCAAGTCTTCATATATGGACCTTTGGGAATTCACCCAAACATAATGCATATTAAGTAAATATTCATTAATACAATCAATATTTAAATTATGCTATTTAGGCATAGAATTAGAGAACATTAGATAATATACTAACTGTTTCTGCAATTTAATTTCCCCAATCAATTGAGTAGGAAAATTAACTAGGGAATTAACATTAAACAGAAATGAAAATGTTATGTGTTATGATTAGGAAGATTAAAAGTATTTAATGCTCTTTAGGTAGGGGTTAAAACAAATGAAGCAACCTTAAACAGGTGAATGAAATATTGACATTTGGTGTGGGGGGAAGATACAGGAATGATGACATTCATCTTTGGTTCTTTTCTGGCTGATTTGCCTGCCATTGTTGGCATTCCATTTTATTCATTTCTTCTCTGCTCATAGACCAACTGGTTTTAATTAGTTGACTACTCATTAATTAAGTACTTACAAAAAATATCTTCATGCTTTATCCTGACTGTTAAAAGTGAGAAGCACAATCCATTCAGAGGTAGTACCTGCTGGCTGTCTGTTTACTGAACATAACTTCTTTATTTATTTGTTTGTTTTTAATGAAATGATAGCACTTAAGTGCAATTTTCTTATTACCACCAAATCCAGGTGTGTTAGTTAGCATTCTGTAGCTGTAACCAAAATACCTGAGAGAATAATTTAAAGGAAAGGACTATTTACATTAGGTCAAAGTTTTTACATTTCAGTCCATGGTCCTTCGCTCAGTCCATGGTGAGGCAGAACATCATGGAGGTGGGAGTATATAGCTGGTGGCAACAGAAAACAAAGAGAAGGGACTGGGAAGCAGGTATAACCTTCAGAGGCATAGCTGTAGTGACCTAATTCCCACAGCTAGAAACCACTTAATAAAGTTTCCACCACTTCCAAAGATACTGCACCAGGTGGGGACACATTAGCCTGCTGGGAGCATTTCATATTGAAACCATTCATTCTGCTCCAGCCCCTAAAGGCTCTTGGCTATCTCGCAATGCAAAATGCACTTAGTCTATCCCCAAGAGTCCCAGCATTAGCAGTTTCAACACTGCTCAAAACTCCCAAGTTCAAAATCTCCTCTGAGACTCAAGGTGAACTCTTAGCTATGAGTCCCTGTAAAATCAAAAATAAGTTAAATTCTCCCAACATGCAATGACACAGATTGAATACTTCCATTTTAGAAAGGGAGGAACGGAATCATAGAAAGGAAGATGGTACCAAACCAAGACTGAAGCCCAGCTGGTCAACCATCAAACCCTGTAGCCCCATGTTTCATACCTAGGGCAGGTAATGATGAGATCTGAGCTCCAACAGACTTGGGCAGTCTGACTGCTATAGCCTTGCTGGTTGCAGCTTGGGAAATTCCCTCACAGACATCCCTAATCTCCTAGGCATTTCTCAATCCAATCAAGTTGACAATCAAGATTAACCATCACTGGTTTTTAAGACAAACTGCAACAACCACTGTGAGGTATGTCTTAAGAGATGGATCCTGGACTGGAGTTATGACTCAAGTGGTGGAGTACCTGCCTGGCAGAAACACTCTCCTGGTTGGCAGGAGAGAGAGAAAGAGAGAGCTGCTGAGAGTAGCTCAAGTACTAGATGCCTGCCTAGCAAGCATGAGGCCCTGAGTTCCAACACCAGTGCAGAAAGAAAAGAAAAGAAAAAGAAAAAAAAAAGGGGGGATGCTGGTGGTAGATGGCTCAAATGGTAGAGTACCTGCCTCTCAAGTGCAAGACTGGCAAGTGTGCTGGGGAAGGGGAGGAGGGGAGGGAGATGGATCTTTGCTATTTCTCCTGAAATTTTTCTAAGGAGTAGGAGTAGATGATAAAGACAGAGATATTAATTGTTGCATCAATGTTTGAAGCTGAGCATATTATCGATTTCTGCTAGCAAACTGATATTAGGCAGAGCTCTGAAAGGTCTTTTGGCCTTCATGTTCTTAGGATAAACGAGTCACTTTCAGAGATAATGAAAGCGTATGATATGGAAATTTATTTGGTTGGAGCTGCTCTACTCAGAGTGTCTTTCTTTGTGAGATTTGTTGTAACATTTTCATAGTTGTTTTTTTTTTTAAAGTACTGTTTTTTTTTTCTCTTTGCAGGTTATTTATCCAACTAAAAAGGCCCCGAAAAAACTGGCTTCTTGGTCCAAGTTAACCAAATCCTTATTAGTTACAGAAACAAAAATTCTGTCATTTTCCTTAAGCTCAAATACTCCCCCTTGGTAGATGGAATAGAGTCCATATTCTAAATTCGTGGACCAACAACTACTTCTAGCACTCTTCATCAGCAGTATAGGATCAGGATAACTTGTGCATTTGTAGATATATTGGACCATTTGTTTGTTTTTCTTTCTGTTCTCTTCTTTTGAAGTTTTTTTGGAACTTTTTTCTAATTCTTGAAATCGGAAGTATATTTGGGAGTAGATGTAATAAAGCCCTGTTTGATGGATGACGAGCTCGCCATTTCTCAAGTGCAAATTGCTCAGGAATGAATATCCTTTCCTTGATGACTCCCAGGATTGCATTTTCTGACCCAAGGATGTTCCATTCTCTGAGCCTGCATGAAGATTAGAGAACAAGTTAACAGAGTTTATAGCAAAGCAAGGAGTTCCCTGGCAACTGTTAGCAGCCCATATTTTTGCTGGGCTTGCAAAGAATTTCTTTCTAATATCAAACTTCCCATTCTTCCAATCTTATGTGGATGACAAATTTCATCATACAGAAATGGGCAGACTCTTGTAAACAGGCCTTGCTTGCCTCATCTGCTATTTCTGTCATACCTGCCCCACTCCCCTCTGAATGGCAGCACAGGTCCCAGTCTTCTTAGATGACAAGTTTCACTCCTTGGTGGAGCTTCTATCCTGAACCCATTCCTTCCTCCCTGCACTGGTGAACACAAACAGAAAAATTTTGAAGGAAATCAAAGAACTGTTATCATTTTTCTTAAGCTCAGAGTTCAAGACTTCTTGCTATTTCTTTGGGACTTTTTGAGTTCGTCCATGGTTTTCCTCAGCTCTCCAGACTGAAAGGTATCATCCAAGCAGAAGGTACTCATAGTCCAAAACTGAGAGGAACAAAGTTTGACAAAGACACCCAGATTTATAAATCCCCAGATCCTTCAATCTTTAACTCTCAAAGATTTTGAATGAAAAAGGGCCCTAAAAATATGATAAATTTTGAATTCATTCATCTCCAGGATTGGTGCAAAACATAGCTTTTGAAGAACTTAGAACAATTGTCAAAATTTGCTGAATAGAAAACAGTAATGCAGTAATAAGAGCATAGCAATTATTCCTGAACAAGAGCTCAGGAATACCAAGATAGTGACTTCCCAGAAAAACAAAACAAAAAAAACAAACATAAAATAACCTTTTGATCTATTTTAACTGATGCCTGAAATTTCTTTCTCTCTCTCTGTTTTTTTTTTTGTTTTGTTTGGTTTTTTTGGCAGTGCGTGGGTTTTGATCTCAGGGCCTTATGCTTGCTAGGCTTGCACTCTACCACTTGAGCCACTCTGCTAGCCCAATGCCTGAAGTTTCTTTAACTTGGGACACTACCCTTCATAATAATATAGTTGACTACTGAGTACATTACAATGGGCCAGACAATCTGCGTATGTTACTGATCATCATTCCATTTTATGATTATTTCTGCATGTGAAGAAACTGAACCTTGGCTTCCTTAAATAATTTATTGTACACTTGCATCTAGGTGAGGAGGAGCTGGAGTTCCAACTTGAGTGTTTACACCACAGACCCATGGACTGTGTCACAGTGTGATAGTGACACCTCGTTCTACAAAAATGAGACTTCATGTATTTGGTTAACTCCGTGAAACTGACATTTTTGTAAGGGAAAACTGGTCAAATGTTGGCAATTTCCTAATGTTTAATTTTATATAACTGCCACTAGGAGCACCTAGTGATTCACAGTGAAAGTAAATTATTTAGAACCTTGAAAGAAAAGGAAGAGTTGATGCAAGTGGTGGGGGGAGAGGGAAGAGAGAAAAGAGAGAGAAGACAGAGGAGAGGGGAGAGGAGAAGAAGGGGAAAGGGAAAGAGAAGGAGAAGTCCAGATGGGAGCCTGGGTACATCAAAGACAAAATTCTCCCACTTCATATTCTTGTTGAGGCCAGCTGTGCCATGAAAGCTTTTGAGCTACTTTTGTGTAACTTTGCTTTGGGAAACAACTTATTTGAGGCTTAATTATTATAAGAATTTTGTGGATTCCAAGATGGCGGCTAGAGGTAGGAAGCAGAAAGTGACCCTCCTATAGTGAAATCTTGGAGAGACGCTGGAGACACACTTTGCGGGCATAATCACTGAGAAAGGCATAACTTTGACCCCTCCACACTCCAGCCGGCAGAGAATCTCCACTTCACGTTAAACGGAGAACAAGGAGGGCCCCGCCGCCAGTGCCGGGCCCAACAGCTTGGGAAGACGCGACCAGGTGAGCTTCCGTACCAGTACTCCCACAGACAAGCCTGGGCCAGAGCAGCATAGCCCCCTGGACAGACTGACCTCCACCGGGGAAAAAAGAGAAACTGAGTAATAAGCAATAAGACAATAAGACACACTGGGAAAGAGGGTGGGCACCCTGAGTGCTGAAGATTGGGGAAGGAACCTTCCAGGACTGTAAATAAACAAGCCGGGCGGCGAGAGGCTCTGGGGCGGGGGCGTGCCCAGCAACCAGGAGCAGGGAAAGCTTGTGAGAGTGGCAGAGGAGGAAAACTCCACAGGAGAGGAGGGAAACCCACTTCCCATGAACTGTAAACAAACATGGCAGCTGGCAGGAGCAGCAGCCGCCCAGTAAGCAGGAGCAGGAAAGCTTGTGAAAGTGGCAGTGGGAGGAAAACTGCACAGGAGAGGGGGAAGACCCACCTCCCACATGAACTGTAAATAAACACGCAGGCCTGACAACGCGGTGCAGTGTCACCTTTCCCAGTGCTTGGAAAGGGGAAAGCCTGTAGCAGAGGCTCCCACACAGGAGAACTCTGAGCAAACAAAGCCTGGGGCCAGGTGAGTGCTAAGCTCACCCCAGAGATCTGCATAAATAACGCCTCCAGCAACAGCAGGCTGACAGCAGCAGGCAGGCAAGCCACAGCGCAGATACCATTCTCAGAACTGTCTCCAGACTCTTTTTTTTTCTTTTTCTCCCTACCTTTGATGAGAGAACAACCGAATTACACCTGCAAGCTGAAAAACTTACTGAAACTGTATTGCATTTGAACTTGGGACACTTGGGGGTTTTTGTTTGTGTGTGTGTGTGTGTGTGTGTAGTTTTGTTCTACTTTATGCATCCCCTTTGATGAGACAACTACAGAACAACATCTGAGGCACCATCTCCAGGATTGGAGACTGAGACGGACACCCAAATTATTAAGACTGAAACTTCATTGCATTTGAACTTGGAGGTTTTTTTTTTTTTTTTTAATTTTCTATTTTCATTTTATTTTAATTCATTTTTAATATAGATATTCTTTCATTTACTTATTTTTTTTTATTTATCTTATTTTTTTATTTTTGATTTTCTATCCTCTCTGTCTCTCTAATGTCTGTTCAGCTTACTGTCAATTAGTACACTAAAGCTCCCTGTTTATACCTTTGAAACTTTCTTGTCTGAACCTTGTTCTGTTTCTCCTCTTGTCTGTGTATTTTTTTCCCTTTTCTTTAACTTCTTGCTTTCCATCTCAGCTCACCCTTCCATTCTAAATATTACCATTGTTATTATTACAAGCTAGAAAATACTTAATTGCACACAGTACAGGGACAGTAACAACACCAAAGACAATGACGGAAGACAGAAAAAACAGGGAAACCAGTTTCCCCACAGCAAAAAATTAGTACAGGAACCAGAGGGGAATGAAGAAAACAGAACTCAGATCCAGACTCCAACAAAATGAAGATAAACTATGCCAAAGGACCCAATGAAGCCCACAAGAATAATTTAAAAGAAGACATACTACAGTACTCAATGAGAATTTTATAGAGATGATACTGGATAGGGTCAACCAAAATGTACAGGAGACACTCAAGAAATTCCAAGACAACAAAAATAGAGAATTTGAAAAAGCAAAAGAAGAAATAAAGGAAACCATAGAAGCACTGTATAAACACCAAAGTGAAAGAGAGAACACGATGAATAAAGATAAATGAACTCAGGACAAAAATAGACAACATTAAAGAGGAAACACCAGGATATGGAAAACCTCAGAAAAAAGAACGAAACAGAACTGCAAAACAAAACGGAAGGCCAATCCAGCAGAATAGAACAAACAGAAGACAGAATCTCAGAACTTGAAGATGAAATGGTAATTAAAGGAAAAACCGAAGAACTATTAATTAAACAACTCAAGACCTGTGAAAAGAAAATGCAAGAACTCACTGACTCCATCAAAAGACCAAACTTGAGAATCATGGGCATCGAAGAAGGAGAAGAGGTGCAAGCGAAGGGAATGTGTAATATATTCAACAAAATAATAACGGAAAATTTCCCAAATCTAGAGAAAGATATTCCCATACAGATGCAAGAGGCCTCCAGGACACCAAACAGACCAGATCAAAATAGCACTACTCCACGACATATCATCATTAAAACAACAAGTTCAGAAACTAAGGAAAGAATATTGAAGGCTGTAAGAGAAAAAAACAAGTAACATACAAAGGTAAACCCATCAAAATCACAGCAGATTTCTCAACAGAAACATTAAAAGCAAGAAGAGCGTGGGGTGAGATCTTCCGGGCACTGAATGAAAATAACTTCAACCCCAGGATACTCTACCCAGCAAAACTATCATTCAAAATAGATGGAGCAATAAAAGTCTTCCATGATAAGCAGAAACTAAAACAATATGTGACCACAAAGCCACCACTACAAAAGATTCTCAAGGGATTCTGCACACAGAAAGTGAAACCCAACTTAACCATGAAAGACAGGCAGCACCAAACCACAGGAAAAGAAAAAGCAAGACAGTAGAGAGTAACCTCAACTTAGGTACACACAATCAAACCTTCAAACAACTAAGACAACTAAATGACAGGAATCACCACATACCTATCACTACTAATGCTTAATGTTAATGGACTTAATTCACCCATCAAAAGCACCACTTTGAAATGGATTAAAAAGAAGATCCAACAATTTGTTGCTTACAGGAGACCCATCTCACGACAGAAATAAGCATAGGCTTAGGATGAAAGGCTGGAAGAATATTTACCAAGCCAATGGCCCCCAAAAAAGGCAGGAGTACCAATACTTATCTCTGACAAAGTAGACTTCAAACCTACATTGATCAAACGAGATAAAGAAGGACATTCCATACTAATAAAAGGGGAAATAGACCAAAAGGAAATAATAATCATCAACCTGTACGCACCCAATGTCAACGCACCCAATTTCATCAAACATACCCTGAAAGACCTAAAAGCATATATAAACGCCAACACAGTGGTTGTGGGAGACTTTAACACCCCATTATCATCAATAGATAGGTCATCCAAACAAAAAATCAATAAAGAAATCCAAGATCTAAAATATGCAATAGATCAAATGGACCTAG